GCTCCGAAGCAGGAACGGCTGGAACAGGCTGCTTAGCCTTCCCCTTTCCTTTGTTGCGCCCGGGGCTGCGCCCTCGGGCCACCATTGCCGTCGGGGTGAACTCCCAGGAGGGACTTATGGGACTAGACCCGACTATCATGGTGATTGCTTCCTTAAGCCATAAGTGAAGCCCTGTTGGGTGAATCCGTTCCTCCAACGCAATGGCCTGGTTGATGCGATCTTGGTACAAACCCATGATCTGCAGCACTGCCTCAGGGTCGAGGTCAGCGGTCGCGTCGTCAGCGGTAACCGCTTGAACCAGGGGAAGCGCGAGGTCCGTCGCTTCCAAGATGCGTTCCGAGACGGCTTTCCGTTCTCGGTGAAACTCCTGCGGCACTTCATCAACGATAGTGCCACACATTCTACAGAAGGTTCGGGACGTGATCCTCGAACTACCCCGATGGTCTGTTGCTTCGTGTGAGCATACAGAGGGGTCTACGGTATATACATGTTCCCGTTTTTCTTGGGATACATGGCCGCAGTCCCTGCAGGTCTTGCGGACGTAATTCGCGGAACTCCCTTGGTAGGAGAACTCCGTGCACGAGCTACACTTCTCCGCCAAAGGCGGATTCGGTGGAGTCTTCTTCTTCGCGCCCTTTCCCCTCGGGCGAGGGTTATAGGTTCCCTCAGGGATACCTATCGAGGCACGAGTTTCGCGATAGTATTGACCTCCTACACCCTGCTGAATGACATAATATCTATTAAACCAGGTGAGGAAATCCTTAAGGTGCGCGGCAGGGCTCGGCTGGACGAGGGCCCAGCGCACGAACTCAGTCTTACGGGATACCTCCTCGTAAGTCTGGCCCTTGTGTTGACCGAGATTAAATCTTCGGTCGGCGCCCTCCATCTGCATTGAGCTAGATGGTTGTGAGGGGGCAGCCTTGGATCTGGGTTCGCCTAGATCCCGCACCATATGGCCACTAGGGTCCATATCGTTCCCTGAGGGAACGTACAGGCCCCCGTCGGGGTCCTGTCGCGGCTCCACAATTGCTATGTGGGCCCGGGGTTTCCCTTTCCCTCCTTTAGAGGTAGGGAATTTGCACTCGGGGTCACCTGCCCAGTGACCAATAGCTCCACACCTGAGGCATTTCGACCGTGCCTTCAGGTTTTTCATTTTCTCGCGACGTTCGTCGAGCGTAAGGTGTGATCGCACTACCTTACCTTTCCCTTTTCCTTTGCGGCCCTTGCCCTTACGCCCCTTCGCTTTTCCGAATGCGGCGTTCGCGGCAAGCTGCAATTGGATCACATGGCCGCTGTCTGCATCCTCGGGATCAAGCTCCTCGAGGCAGTTAAGGGCAGTTGCCTCTTCTTCCTCGAGCTCGAATTCCTCGTAGCCCGGGTCCTCTTCCTCCTCCCCGGCGGGGTAGGAGTGAGGATCGTACTCAGGCTCGTCCCCAAAGGCGGGGTACGAGGTGTCGTCGTACTCTTCGGCATCGTCGCCGTCGTCCGGCGGCGCGTCGTCGTAGTACTGCGTCTCGTCTTCAGCGACGTAGGCGCGACGGTTAAAACCCTTAGACCTATTCTTACCGTAGCCCTTAGGGTTCCCGCGGCGGGCACCAGGATGGTGAGGCGGTCGGCGGTCCTGAAAGGTACCGCCACCTAAGGAACGACCTTCCTTTAGGTGAACGCCGCTGTAGTGCTCCACTAGGGTAGCAGCAACTGCTTCAAAGCTCCGGTTGCTAGTGGTGCATGCCTTAATGACAAGGCACTCTTGCCGAGTCAAACCGGAAAGCTCCAATAGCAATTCTACACGCATCGGCTCGGAAAGCTCGATGCTGGCGTCGAGAGTTTTGAGCAGTTTCCACCAGCGTCGTCGTCGGCTGACGTACGACAGCATCGACTCGCCACCTTGGCGTGCGAGGACACCTTGCTTTTGGCCCGCACGGAAGAGCTCTCGAGCTTCTTCGGTCGCACGGGGGAAGACGACATTCCTCAACTTGGTGATGAAATCCCGGAGGCCACCAGGGGCAGTCAGGGATTCGATACCGATATCCCGGGCGAGTTCGAAGGCTTCGTCCCGAAGTCCTTCCAGCACTTTATGCACCATTTCGGTTCGTGCTTTAATCGCATAGGATGACATTTCGTCGGCAACCGGCAGTTCTGTGACCGAGTCAGGTGACTTCGGTGCAGATGGTCTCCTGCGAGATCCACCATCAGAGGCTGCTGCAGATGCCTCGGCTGCATCTATGTCGGGCCTGTCCTCGGGAGGTACAGGGGCAGTGGCTCCCGCAGTCGGACTCTGCTCCACGACGCGGCTCTCATCGTCACTGCCTTCTTCTTCTGGCTCCACGGTCTTCTTAGATTTGCTCCTGATGGCATCTTCGTACAGTTTAAGCCTCATAGAGGTCCTAAACTCCCAGTCGTGGAACGTACTGGGGGTGCCATCATATATGTAGCTCCCGCTACGAGTCTCAAGGGGAGTACTCGAGTAGGTGGAGCGACTATACCGAAGACCGGCCACGGACATGCTTGGCGAAAGTTCGAAGGGAAAGAATTGAGAGGGAGGTATGCAATGGTAGGTATTGAGCACAGGCTACAGGCTACTGCGATCCGCGCAGATACAGGTCCCGGAGGTACCTGGCTCCGCTGCCAGTTTGAGAAAACTGGTGGATCTTTTCGCCGACTGCGAAGCTATCTGGATATGACTCAAGGGCCCTAACGGCAGCGGGAAATATATACAGTTAACACATGCATGTCATGGCCATGGCTTCCTGTACATGTACAACAGAGGGTGCATTCACAGTAGCCTTTACACTCCAAAAGCTGCAACCTAAACCCTCAACCCTAAATCCCTGAAATTACACCCCGAACCTCGGTTCGAGGTTAGCAGGATCACACAATCAGGAATTAAGTGCCTAGGCTCCTACCACTGCCCTTCGGTTCAAACCCGAAGAGCCGAAAACCCTACACCAGCTGCCTCTGCTTTAGGGGTCGGAACAACTCGTAATGTTTCTTGAAAACTTCCCTATGTCCTAGGGTCCTAGAACCCTTCAGTAGCCCTTGAGAGGAGCACTGAAAGGAACCCTGTTCGATTTCACGCCCGAGGCGCAGGAGGGCGCTGCATCCAAACCCTAAACCTATACCCTAGGCCCTAAACCCCTAGGGTTTTACGCCCGAAACCCTAAACCCTATACCCTATATACCCTACGCCCTAAATCCTAACCCCTGAACCCTATACCCTACGCCATAAACCCTATACCCTAAACCCTAAATCGGCCCTAAACTCTAGACCCTTGCATGCCCAAGGCGCAGGTGGGCGCTGCATCGAGATCCAACCAGGTGCCGTCCAGCTTCGACAAGTCCACACGACCGGTACTCAAAATCCGCGGCCGAAAGCCGCTGCAGCTGTCCCAATAGGGGACCTTCCGAAAGCGCCGCCTACACCCTAAACCCTAAACACCACAAATCCTAAACCCTATGAATCCTATTTTCTTTTAGGATGCCGGATTATGACTTTCGTATTTATGGGACCTTCCGAAAGACAACGCTGTCTTCAGGGGATCTTCAAACCTCGGAGTACTTCGGCTGCGGAGCCGCAATTTCAAGCTGTAGGGTGGGTTGAGGCCCTCGACTGAACCCTGCCTCAAACCTTTCAAACCGACTCTCTTCTGGGGTGCCTGGTTCTGATTTTCTTACTCAGGTCCTTGAAGGGATAATTTTTTTTGGGGCTAAGGTCAACCCCCAACAGCTCCCACTTTACGCCCCTACTCGAGGATCTGGCTTCCAGCTGGGACTGTGGCTAACGGCTCGGGCGTTAGGCCTTCGCCCGAGCGCACGTACAAAGGGGCCGTTCGAGCCATATTAAGCTGCTACGTTGTAACAAGGAGCTCTGAATAGTAGTAGCACTCATGAGTGAAGCTTACCCACAACCCTCCCAAGAACCCCAGGCCAACCTCCTCTCTGCTCTTGCCCCAGAGGAGGGTTTAGGGTTTAGGCTTTAGGGTCAACATCCACATGCCTTCGAGCCCTAAACCTCCGCAGGTTCTGGCCTTAGAAACCCTAAACCCTCGTAAACCTGACAAGCCGTATAAACCCTGTTCAAGCCTTCACCCCCTTTTAAACCCCATAGGCCCTTATAAACCGTTAAACAGCTATACACCCTATAAAACCAAAAAACCTGTAATAGTAAAAGCTCTGAAAACCCTTGTACACCCTTATACACCCTTATACACCCCTATAAACCCCTATAAACCCATATAAACCCTTATAAACCCTTACAAACCCTTATAAGCCCGTATACACCGTTTTGAACCCTACAAACCCTTGTAATTAACACCTCACAAACCCTTATCAACCCTATAAAACCTTATAAAGCCTTATGAACCCTATAAATCCTTCTAAACCCTGTAAACCCTGAACCCCACCTGCAGCTCCTGGCAGCCGTCCAAGTGATGCCTGGAGTCCAAGGAAGCCGGAAGAGCCTCCCGGGGTCAAAAATTTGGGGTTTAGGGTTTAGGGTTTAGAGCTTAGGGTTTAGAGTGTAGGGTTTAGAGTTTAGAGCTCAGACTTAAGGTTCTAGCGTTTAAGGCACTACGAGCCTGCGACCGCAAGAAAGTAGCTTTAGGGTTTAGGGGTTAAGGATTTGGGGTTAAGGCAAATCGTTTAGGGAAAGGCATCACGAGGCTACAAAAGCAAGCAGGTCGCTCTAGGGTGTTTCCAAGGTTTAGAGTGTTTCACACGGTTTTACAATGTGCACAAGGAGTTTTCAGGCTTCGTAGTTAATAGAGCTCTAGTCGGGTTCTAAAAGCGTTTAGGGCTCAGGGCTCAGGGATGTTTATGTTGACATCGACTTGCAAGAAGGAGGACTGCAAGCAGGCAAGCTCACAAAAGCGTTAGCACATGCAGCATGCACTCGCAATTTTTTGAAGTCGCTCAGGCTATCTGGTGATCTGTACGCGGGTTTCAGTTGACCCTGCGCATAGAACCTAAGCCCCTCGGCCCAGCCAGACAGGCTGGCGACACTAGGTGCTCAGACTCAAGAGCACCAGGACCGCCAAGGACAGACCGTGTAGTGTGAAGACGTGCGCTGCATTGGTAATCCAACTCGCACAATCAACACTGATTCCGTCGACGAAGATGCCACCAGTACCAAGGACATCAGGCCCGCAGAAGTTGAGGTCCTTGGTTCAGAGAGCTGCTTGGCTCGGTGTGAGGGTTTCTTCAGGCACTTGACTGCTTGGGGATGAGCCTATACAACAAGAGTCTAGGCAGTGAGCTCATGGTGCTCCTAGCAGGACAACGGATGCGTGCTGATGCCAGGGCACCTCCCAATTCACCTTGACATCCTCGACAAAGATGCCCCCGACGGCCTCCGTGCTGTCTTTCTGCAGGTTCAAATTTACGAGCTCATGACCCTTTCGGATGTCATCTTCGGTAATCTTCTCGATGTCGGGCCCAACCTTCACGAACACCTTTGCGGACTGCCCCAACTTCAACTGGCCGCCTCCGCTGAGAGAAACGATCCTGTGAGAAAAGGCAACATTGCAATAACCGTTTTCGAAGTTCAAGCCCTTATCGTAGACTAAGGCCTTGGGCCGGAGGCGCCATTCATGAGGTACTCGTGAATACAATTCCGTGACGCTGTCCCCCTCAAGGCTGCGGACACTTCGAGATCCTCCTTCATAGGTGGCAACCGATGCATGCTCATGAAAGCACTGACCATAGCTCCATTCCTCAACCGGCTCTGCCTTTTCAAGGAAGAAGCGCCGCAGTCGGAATCCGATCGGCTCCCAGCAAGAATGCTTGAAATGGCAATCCTCCACGTGCCGGCGAATGGCGGCACGGCGGGTGGCCCGGTCCGCACGGTAAAGGAGCTTGCGGAGGCTCAGGCGTCCGACTCTCGAGAAAAGCTTCTGGAGGAAGCCCATCTGAAACATCTGCAACAGCTGGTGTACTTGAGGGGCTGCAGCCGTGTCCTTCTGGAAGCTTTCCTCGGCAAAGTGAGCGTCCATGAGGCCTTCTGCCTCATGGCAGAACTCGGCAAGTGCCGGGTCAGGTGTGTCACTCACACGATCGCCGGGGCCAAAGTTCTGCGCAGAGAAACCGAAGATGGTTGCAGCAAGCTCTCCACAAAGCGCCTCATTGTACTGGCTGTTGCAACAAATGTCGAAACCGAGCTGCCAGGCAGACCAATTCGCATGGTAGAACTCTTGTGCCTCATCTTCACAATCCTTGCACAGGCAGCGATGGATCATCTTGCGACAACCTTTGTGCTCTTCGGACGCGAACGGGCCGGGAGAGACGGTCGCATTCGCCGCAGCATGCTGCAGCAGCGATCCACCAGATGCACGGTGTGGAACTGCACACTGGCTTTGGTCGGCATCTTGGGCACTCCCAAGGGCTACGGCCAGCAGAGCAGACACGGTGAGCAGCATGGCAACGCGGTAAAAGTGAGAAAGTCTGTATCAATCTGTTTCAAGTCAGGCTTGGGGCGGAGCCGAGTTTGTGCAGCGGCCTGCATGCTTACTTTGGTCGATCTTCGTCTTCTCTGCAAAGAGCAGAGGCATCGCGCTTTCGCACACAAGCTTCTCTAGCTCTAACCAAACGCTGGAAAAGGATTTTAGACCTTGAGGCCCTGAACCAGTTGCGCTCTGGCGCACAGCTCATCAATTAAATGCACAATATGCTTCAAGGATCACTCCGACCTCGAGGCATCGAACAACAACATCGACAAAGCCGGAGACACGCAAAGATTGCACATACTGTGTTGGAACGCTGGTGGTCTAGGGTCTGGCTTGTGGGATGAAACTATGTGCTGGCTGGATGAAAAGTGTTACATTGCTACATAGGCGCCGCAGTATTCAGAATAGGGCTCTTAATTGGGGAGTATTCCTTAAATCATACTAGGGATCCTCCTATAATTTAAGGAATATTCCTTAATTAAGGGAAATTAGAGTCTCTGGGTCTCTTGCCTCGTCTTCCACGGTGCAACCGCAGCTGCTTGCGCCCATGGCCCGGCTCTACATCAGCGCCTGAAAGAAGCCTCCACTAAAGCAACTTCCGGGTAGACCCTGAAGATTTAGGGGTTTAGGGTTTAGGGTTTAGGGTTTAGGGTTTAGGGTTTAGGGTTTCTGAGATGTGGGAGTCTCGGAAAACCCTAAAACAATTAAAACATCTTATGAGACAAGACCCTCCAAACAAAGGGCCCCGCATTTTAGACCCCTGGCTGCCTGACTACAGCCCTAGGCTTCTGAAGATTGGGTTCTTGCTGAGGAATCTAGCTTAAGTTACCATAATAAGGATCCATGCCAACTATACTCTCTAGTTTAAGTTACCAGAATAAGGATCGATACTACCTATGCTTGTTTCTTTATTGCGGCAACTAAGGGGCAGGGAAGAAGCAAGATCCCTAAACCCTAAACCCTAAACCCTAAACCCTAAACCCTGAAGCAAGATCAAGGCTGCTCCTGTGTGATCTTTGCACAGGAGCTGAAGCAAAAACCTGCCCAAGCTCCCGAGTTCCTTGTCAGATCGGGACTCAAAAAGAAAGCCCGATACCCTATAGTTAAGGAATACCTAGGGCTCCTTTAAGGGATCTATAAGGGATCTATTATAGGGTTTATGGTTTAGGGGCTAAGTTGCGGAATATAGCTAGTTAAGGAATACAATTGCAAGAATTTCACTAACTTCGGGCTAATTCCTTCAGCATTAAACAGGACGTGCTGTCTTAAGACGCAAGCTTTCAGGACGCGCGCCCAGGATGTCGAGACGCGCGTGCCGAGGACACTAAGACAGTACATAGATGTAGGGCGTCGATTGATGGAGTAAGGAAGATTTTCACGAACAAAAGAAGAACGCAGGGCCTCCTCTGCGGAATTTACGGACCCTGCCCCACTAAGCTAGGAAACCCGAGAGGCTTTCAAGGCGGCTTAGGGTTTTGAGGTTTAGTGTTTGGGGTAAAGGGTAGAGGATTTGCGGTTCGGGGTTTAGAGTTTGGGTCTTTAGAGTTAAGGGTTCCGCGTTTGGGGTCTAGGGCTTAGGGAACGCAAAACCAAGCAGCTGAACCTATACCATCGTTTAGAAGCACAATAAAAATACTGTCGGACATTCTCTCGGGTCGTATACGAGCAAAAATCAAAAATAAAACGATTCCTAAGGAGACTCTAGGAACCCCTGCTCAAACCCTCTCTGGAAGACCCAGGAGCGGAACCACTTCGAAACCCACAGCCGGAAGAGGCCTCCGGCAGTTACAGATACTGTCGCCTTAGAAACTCAAACCTACGCCCTAAAGCCTAAACCGTCATAATCCATGGCATAACTATACCAAAATATACCCTGAAACTTTGTATTAGTTCTAGTTTCGAATGCCTAAAGGCCCTAAAGTATATGGTATCAGACCCTGAACAAAAATGACGGAGAGATACGAAATGTGCTGCCCACCTGCGCTTTCAGCTTGGCACCGTCGGGCCTGGTTGGAGAAGCATAGGCTTCGCGCGGATGCTTATGCTTTGGGATTCTTAGGGCTTCGGGCTTAGGTATCATGACCTTAAGGGATCTTCGGGTTGAGAGTTTAGGGTAGAATGACCTTGGTTCCCACCCCGGGAGGATCCAAAAAGTAGATCCCTTAATGGGGGGTTCTTATAAAACACCCTTAGTAGTATAGGGCCCAAAACTAGGGGATCTACTTTCTAGGTTGGAGCGCAAGATGTCGGGGCCTGGTGTGTTGCGGGTTTGGATTCACGGATTTACGGCCTCGGGCGCGTCAGGATTTCGGGCTTTCGGAGTTTGAAGGGGCCCGAAAGCCCAAAATCCCAGCTAGAGCCTCACGATCACTACCGGTCCCGGGTGCCCCTGAACCCTGCGAGGCAAAACCTGACACGCTAAACCCCAAAGTTTGGGGCATTTAGGGCTTCCAGGTTTCGGGTTCGGGACCTAGACCCTAAAACCTAAACCCTAAATCCTAAGCCCTAAACCCTAAACCCTAAATCCTAAACCCTAAATCCTAAACCCTAAATCCTAAACCCCAATTCTCAACGAGAACCTGGACCCCAAATCTTCTCAGGGGTCCCGGGCCCGATGTTGCCTGGGCGGCTTAGGGTTGAAGGTTCAAGGTGGAGGGTCGTCCTCGAGCTTCTTTGTGGAGCTCTTTCTTCGGATCTCTTTTCGGTTCAGGGTTAGGGTTTAGGGTTTAGGGTTTAGGGTTTAGGGTTTAGGGTCTGGGGTTCTGGTTTTGTTGCGTGTTTCGGAGTTTGGAGTTTAGCTGGCTTCGTTTCCAGGGGGATTCTGAGTCGTTGGCTTCGCCGGGATCCTGGCAAGTCTCGTGAATACCGGCTCCAGATGTGTGGAATTTGAAGCATGTTTTAGAAGCTGGTAATAGTGACCATAAGGATTATATAGGATTATATTAGGGCCCTAATATATTCCTATTCTACCACTATTACAGGGTGGGGGGGGCAGCTTCTAAAGCATGTTTCTTGTATACTATACTTCGGGCCTTTTTCGGCTTGGTGACGAGGCTTGCGGCTTGGTGTCGGGTTTAGCGGAAGGTCAGGCTTCAGGGATGCGAATGGCCAAGGGACGCGGTCCTGCCCCTACCCAGATTCTTGGGCGAGGATCCCACTACTTGTGAGAAGAGTACTCAAAAACCTGCGTGTGTTTTGAACCTGAAGCGTCCACAACTTGTTCAAAACATTCCAACAACACCCCCTCAACCCCAGCCCCCCCCCGGGGATCCCCCGAGACCTGTACTTTGCAGCCCAAGCCCGCAGCCTCTCAACACCTACCCTTGATCCCAAGATCCAGCACAACCCTAAACCCCGAAACCCCGAAACCCCGAAACCCTAAACCATAACGCGAAAAGCACGCTGGACCCTAAACCCTAAAACCCGAAACCGCAACGTGAAAAGCACCCGAAACCCCGGAGTCGGCCCGAAACCCCAAACCCGAAACCCCAAAAAGCGTCAAGGACAGAAACCCTAAAACCCTAAACCCTAAAACCCTAAACCCTAAACCCTAAAGCCCTAAACCCTAAACCCTAAAACCCTAAACCCTAAACCCGACGCTGGGGGGATTTTTGCTCCGGCCTTGCTGTGACTGGGCGTAGATGATGGGGAGGCCTGGGAGATCAGAGTCCTCAAAAACCCTTAATTAAGGAATATATGTAGGGTTCCTTTAAGGGATCTTTCGGGTTTAGGGTTTAGGGACTCCAATATCCCTGAATTAAGGAATCTAGCTTACATCATAATATGAAGCCCCTACTAATTTAAGGCATCTTGCTCAATTAAGGGGTATTGGGCTCTCTGGGTCTATGCTCCATTCCGAAACAAAGCTTATAAGGGCGATCACAGGACTTATATTGGGTCGCTAAGGCATGTTAAAGGTTATGTGAGGGGCGTGTAGGAGTTGACAAAGGGTTTATGGTCAAAGATTGCATGCAAATTTTAACAGTTTGTGTTGGCTTGGTCTTGTCACCGTCGAATCGTAAACCCTAAACCCTAAACCCTAAACCCATTCTTCTTACTTCCCTAAACCCTAAACCCTCAACCCTGAAGCCTAAACTCCCAACCCTAAACCTACGCGTCGAAGCTGCTCCCAGGCATGGCCATCCAAGAAGGGAGGGATTTTCAAAGGGTGAGCAGGATATAGGATTTAGGTTTAGGATTTAGGGTTTAAGTTTAGGGTTTAGGATTTCAGTTTGGGATTTAAAGTTTAAGTTTAGAGTTCAGGGTTTAGGGTTTAGGGCCTCCTGAACAACAAGGAAACAATCCCTTAAACCCAAGCCCCAACAGCCTTGAACCCTCCACTTCTGCGATTTGAGGCGCTGGCCTAAGCTGTCAATGCAGTCCTTCGGAATTTCGCAGGTCGGGGACTACTGGCTTGGGCTGCGGGTAACCGCCGGGGCTCACTGCTCTGACTCTGCAATGTAAGAGGCATCGGATTCCGCCGGAAGTCCGCAACCGCAAACTCCAGGACTTCAGCCCCAACAACTACTTGTTCCAACGCGGAAGGCTCTTCCAAGCGAGCCCATCAGCACCGACCCCCAACAACTACTTTATGGGCTTTCCCCGAAGTACCCAGAGACGAGGGGTCCAGGGTTCAGGTTCTACAGTAGAAGCCAAAAAGTTGGAAACCCAATAGCCTCCATCCTTAAGAGTCATGTATAGGGAGTCCCAGCACTATTTGGCCTTACTGGGAGGATCATGGGACTTAGTAAGTAAGTTTATAAGTAGGTTAACCCCACTTAGGGGACTGATAACCCTAGTTATAAGTTACTTACTGAGTCCCATGATCCTCTAAGTAATACAAGGGCCTGCCTAGAGAGCCCAATACCCCTTAATCAAGCAGTATGCCTTAAATCCTAAGGGGCTTCATTTTATGATTCAAGCTATAGCCTTAATTAAGGGGTATGGGGCTCTCAGGGTGATAACTAGACAGG